TGTTTGCTGATTTTTACTTTATTTAAACTTTGTGTCATTTATTTTATTTGACATCAAGGTGTGCCTCCAAGCTTTCTTACTAATTTTGCTAATAAACGTCCTATGTTTCTTATTTATTTGGTTATATATTATATATGTTTGCTTAGCCTATTTCCAGTTTTGTATACCTATTTAAACTTTATGTAAGTTATTTGTTATTTTATATTAGGCATAGCCTGCCCTATAGCATGGTGTATTTTTATTTTATTTGTTTTGTTAATAAAAGTTCTATGTTTTATATATACGCTAAAGTGAGTTTGACGTTGTATTTGGTTGTTGCATTCAAGCAATTGACGCCTAACTGCCGCTAAATCAAAAGTGAAAGTAAAATGCGCACAGCGCTTTTAAGCTATTTAAAAGCTACGGAAAGCGAGGAAAAGAGGGAAAATTCAAACGATGTTACCGCATCCCAAACGACTCAAAATAATAAAGCACAAAGTTAACAAAATGATGCACTCCACTGTGCTGAGCGAGAGCACTTCTCTGCTGTCTTCACGTGCTATCGGAAACTTCCTATTTCCCACTTATGAAGTCGTGATTACTAGCACGTTGCATTCTTTTCTGTTAAAAATGACAGTGAACAGTGGTTTGTGAATGTTGATGCTTAGCCTAAATAATTTTATCGGGAGTGTTCATGTGAGCGCTGTTTATTATTTTTTATTTTTATTTATTATTTTTTTTTTTTCATAATTGTTTAAATATTATTGGATAATCTAGCAAATGAAATAAATTTTCTATAATAATTAAAATGTAAAAAAATATAACAACATTAGAAACAATTAAACAATTAGAAACTTTCTAATTTCTAATCATTCATTTTAAGTGTAGCCTGTGATCTATTTATGGAGGTCTGCTTTCTTCTTCTAGATATCTGGAGAGCTGTGTGACGTCTGCTTTGAAACGAAAGAGCGAATCTTTGTCCATAGCTACGTCATCTTCATCCTCCATGTCTGGGGAAGACAAACCCACAGCGGCCGCACATGAAGACGCTGTGAACACAGATGGTACGAGCTCTCAAAGTCCATTCCAACTGGTTCTGTATCCTCCTAAAACCCTGCAGATTCTGATGACTGACTTTCTCCTGCAGAAGCTGCGCTAGAAGGCGCTGGTGCTCTGGACAGCCAGGTGTCTGCGGGTTCGGCCACGACGGCAGCGGTGGTGGGAGCGCCGCTCACAGACATTACAATCTCCACAGAAGCCATGAGCGTGGTGTCCGTCACCAGTCAGTGCAGTTACAGCAGCACCATAGTGCACGTGCCGCAGCCAGAGTCAGGTGAGTTACAGTGACCCAAAATGTGTTTGGCCACTTAAACCGTATTTAAAGGGATAGTTCACCCAAAAATGAGCATTTGCTGTTAATTTACACACTCTCAGGCCATCCAAGATGTAGGTGACTTTTTTTCCTTGAGTAAAACAGTAAAGAAGATTTTTAGCTTAAACTGTGGTCCTTGGAGATTGATGCAAATGCAAGCGGCTGTCTGAGAATTAAAAAAAAGCGTATCAAGGAACACAAAATGAATACCTGTGGCTCCTGACGATTTATTGAGGTCTTATGAAGTGAAACTATCTGTCTGTGCAAGAAACTGAACATTATTTACTACATTATTATCTATAATCCAGAGCCTCAGGCAAACAAACTGGAGTGATGTCTGGTTTGCGAACGAATTGTTCTTTTGAACTGGTTCTTTTTGGGAAACTAGTGGGACTAGTTTCAGATCTACAAGTTACTCAGTCAAAACTCACTTTCGGGTGTCAGACAGTCACTCCGACTCAAAATGAGCCAAAATACCGGCGTATCAGATCCTGTTATGAACTCATTCAGCGCTCCAGTTCCTCCAACAGTCACTGAACTGAGGAAACAGTTCGACTCGGACTGGAGACCGATGAGCCGGTGATCTGCGCATGCGTAAACCGAGCACTTGTATGAAGGGGAGAAATTAACGTTTTTATGGTTTCTCACAGTTTATGTAAAAAGGTGAGCTGATGAAGACAAGTTTATTCACTTCATATGCTTTAGATATGTAAAACATACACATTTCACATCATTATAATAATATAATTGCGTATACATTGTCATTGTGGGATTATGTAAAGAAACGGAAAGAAACATCAGATTTCCCCATTGCCTGAGTCTCTGGATTACAGGTAATAATGTTGTAATTAATGTTCAGTTTCTGGCACAGACCGATTGTTTCACTTCATAAGACCTCAGTATATCGTCAGGAGCCACAAGTATTCATTTTGTGTTCCTTGATATGCTTTTTTTATTCTCAAAAACCAGTAGACACTTGTTTGCATTTTTATGAATCACAAAGAACCACTTTTTTTTACTGTTCTACTCAAGAAAAAAAATACCTACATCTTGGATGGCCTGATGGTCAGTAAATGAACAGGAAATTTTTGGGTGAACTATCCCTTTAAAACTAAGTTTTTAGGCAGCACCGTTGAATGCCTGCATCTGCCGCTTGTCTTCCTCCAGAGGTCACAGCCTTAGAAGATGCTCCAATGGGGAGTGAACCAACAGACTCCGCCCCCACCCCTGCACGCCCCGCCCCCAGCACCTCCTCAGCGGCTCAGGAGGAGTTACTCGTGGTGGGTCTTACTAAAAAGGTGCTGTCGGCCCACACCCAGAAGGAGGAGCAGCAATTCGTAGATCGTTTCCAACATCGTATCCTGCAGAGTCCCTACAGCTCCTACCTCCAGCAGGACAACAGCAGCATGGACCATTCTCATCACAGATGTGTGTGTGTGTGTGTGTGTGTGTGTGTGTGCTAGCTGTTGTTATTTATCAGTCTATTTCTTGTCATGTTCTTCATTTGTTATTTGCTTTGGATAAAAGTGTCTGGAGCAACTTGTGATAAGAACAAGCACTCTGGAGCAACCTAAGATTAATGCTGCCTATGGATTATTCATTTGATTCTATTATTAAAACTATATATTTTATATAGTTATTTTTTTATCTGAAAATGTAAAGAAAAAATTTACATATCAACAGTGTGCTAATATCTATTGTTGGAAATTCCAACAAATTAAATATTTTTATAAGAATTTAATACTTTATTTAAATATACAATCCATAATGTCAGTAGTCCATATATTATTATATTATATTATTATGTAATATTAATTATAAATACTAATTATTATAAT